CTTTTTGTCCCAAAAACGCCCCCCCCCCTCCCTTTTTTTTTTTTTTTTTTGTCTAAAGGGATGGCATATATGTCAGGTGATCTTCAGGGACATCTTCAGTCATGGCTCTGTGGTTTGGATGATCCCAGGCACAAAGCTGATTGTATATTACGTGTTATTTTCCTGAAGATCCTCTCCAATCCCAGCTTCCATTTTTGTTTCAGCAATGGACATGACAGTGCACTTATGTCATTTCCCCCCAGGATTGGAGTATACAGCAGGCCTAGATACAAGACCCAGGGCCATGCGTGAGTTCTCTGGGGCTTCAGACAGAAAGTCCTGCCAAAGACTTAGAGGCTGCAGGGGATGAGTAGGGGGTATGTAGAGATGGGGGTGGTGAGGGGTGGCTCTCAGCTCTTCCCCACCCTGGTCATCCTTGAGATCTAGAGTACTGGCTACTTTCCTGTCAAGCCACACTCACTCTCTAGCCAGGGTGGACATTAGCAGGCCTGGATGCCAGTGTCCCATAGTCCCTTCAGCCCGAACAGTGGAGAGCCTGGTACAAAGCTGGTACTCAGCAAACACAGGGTGGGGGCAGCCCCTTTACACTCTGCCGTGCTTACCTACTCCAGCCTTCTTCTGTTCATGTATTATGAGTCTGTACCCTAGCCCTCCCAGCCCCACTCCCCCTCCCCTGCCAAGTTAGGTTTGCTGGTGGCCAGCTGGACAGTGGCAGGGCAGAGGTGGAGGGGACAGGGGAGCTAAGAGATGGGAGGAGAAGCTGCTGGGCAGCCTGGTCTTCCCTGAAGTCTCATCCCCAAGATGTGATACATCCCCAGGATGTGGCCCTCATCACCAGGAGTGACCCATGGTCACCCCCTCCCACTGTTTACCCTGCCCTCTCTGTGCATTAGGGGAGCTTCTCATTTATGGAGGCAGGTTGTGAGGTTATCCAGGTGCTGGTGGCTATTCTTTCTTATATCTGGGTCCTTTCGTCCATGGGAGACTGAGGAGGGAACACAGAGTCACAAGACTTCCCTTAAGTGCCTGGAAGGGATGAGAGCACATGTCCCTCAGCCTCCCATGTGCTAGACACCCTGGGCACATTGCCCTATTAGCTATGTACAGACACATGTCTTATTTTATAAATGAGATGGGTTGACCGGGCTTACTTGGCTCACAGGGGCCACGCGACCACTCCATCCAGGCTGCACAGCTCTCTAGTGACAAATGAGTGGAATTTGAACACAGGTCAGTTGTGCTCAGTGGGGGAAGAATTGAAGTTCTAGGATTGAAACTAGGATTGTGCATCTCTCACATGACTAGGAGAAGGGGTCCCACAGTTTCACCACGCCCCCAACACCAAAAATGTTAGGAACTTCCTCCCAGAATGCTGGGATCTATTTAGGAAAACCAGAATGAAGCTCCAGAGTGACTTGCACAGCATATGACTAAAGCCCAGCCAGGTACTCCTTTGGGTCTTTGTCTGGAAGGCCACTAGGCTGGAATTGTAACAGAAGAGCCTCATTTTGGATGCGAACATAGGGCCAAGGACTCATGGAGGGTAGGAGCAGCTTCTGATAGCTTACAAAGCATTCATGATCACGATCCCACTTGTCCTGAGGGGGAAGGTAAATATTTGCATTCTTTCCAATTTTATGAGTGCTGTACCTGAGCTCAGAGCACGGCTTGCTCAGGTCAGGCTGTGTAGACTGGCAGCTGCAGACAGTGCCTTAGAACTGGGCTCTTGAGGCCCAGACCCTGTGGCATGACAGAAGAGGTGACAGGCTGTCTGTTTAAAGCTGGAGTCCTGTAGGGCTGCCTGGGGAGGTGGGAGGGCAGTGGGGCCTTGCAGGGCTGGGCCAGATGGGCAGTGATGCAGGAGGCCCTGGGGCACTGGCTTAGAGAAGGGATGGGACTGTAACCCATGCCCTCCCAGTGACTTTTGTAGGTGTGTTTAGTGAAATGCTCAGCAGGTGCAAGAAAGATGGGCCTGAGCCAAAGGCCAAGCCCAGAGATGCTTTGGATTTTTCCCTTTATGCCCCTGAAACCAAGCCCTGCTGCTCCAGCCCATATAAGCCACCCGGGCCAAGGGCTTCGGCATTCACAGCTTGGCTCTCCCTTCGCTTCTGCCGCACGCCCGAAGCTGCTTCCCTTCTCAGCAATGATCGCCAAACAGCAATATGTCCGCAGCGGATCTCGGGGCTTTAGTGGTGGCTCAGCCATTGTTGGTGGGGGCAAGAGGGTGGCCTTCAGCTCTGCCTCCATGTCCGGGGGTGCAGGCCGCTATTGCTCTGGGGGCTTTGGCAGCAGGAGCCTCTACAACCTTGGGGGCCACAAGAGCATCTCCATGAGCGTGGCTGGGTCCTGCCAGGGTGGCGGCTTTGGGGGTGCTGGAGGCTTTGGCACTGGTAGCTTTGGTGCTGGGTATGGTGCTGGTGGTTTTGGCGGTGGATTCGGAGGTTTCATCAATGGTCGTGGTGGTCCTGGCTTCCCTGCCTGTCCCGCTGGAGGCATTCGGGAGGTCACCATCAACCAGAGCCTGCTGACACCCCTCCACGTGGAGATTGACTCTGACATCCAGAAAGTCCGGACAGAGGAACGTGAGCAGATCAAGACCCTGAACAACAAGTTTGCCTCCTTCATCGACAAGGCAAGTGGAGTGGCCTGAGCACAGGGCGGTGGGAACAAGGGTTCCTGAGTCTCAACCAGGAGGCCACCTTGAACCGACTCCTGACTCTGGGCAGAACGTTTCGTTGCTGGGGCTGTTTGAAGAGCAAAGGGGACGGTGCCGTCTCTCCTTTTTGTAGGGCAGCTGCCTTGTTCACACACGATTTGGAGACGCCATAGTGGACGATCAATTGTTGCCATGAGCCACGGAGCCTAGTCATCCAGACATCTGTGGCTGGGGACAAGTGTGACACTCTGGTCCAGGCTGTCTTGGGTCACTGTGTTTCAAGGTTTTGGATTTAGATGTTTGAGGAGAGAGTGAACCACCCCGGAGTGGCATGCTTGCTTTTCCAGTTGGCCCGAACACACCTGTGGTAGCTGGAGGAGGCTGACGGTGACCCCAGGGACATAGACTTGAAAGCCAGACTGAGCGTTCTTTGTGCCTCCTCGCCACATTTCCTTTGGTCTCACCTTTTGGGTTCAGAAGATGGGAACCTCCTTTATTGTACATAACATGGAGATGCTCTGCTAGACTGATTCTTTGGCTGGTCTGGCTGGGTCCTTCAGAGAGGGAAGGCTCCCCAGGGTGGATTCTAGCTGAGTCTCAGACACATAGGGTCTGGGCCATAAATAGCTATTCTCCAGTTGTGCACAGATTCAGGAGACATGGTTTCCCTGTGTAGCCCAGGTTGGCCTTAAACTCATAGTCCTTCTGCCTTAGCCTCCTGAGTGCTGGGATTACATGTGGGCACCACCATGCCTAGCTTATTTGGAAAGTTCTTAGTGAATGTGTCTGTTCTTTGCCATGGTTTAAGATCCCTTGAATGCAAGTGCCTGCTGACTGTAGTTGCACCTTCTGATCTTATTTGATTTGAGTGTTTCACAGACACATCTGTTCTCTAGCCTTAGGTCTGCTGTGGTTAGAAACTATTCCAGCTGTACCTTTGGCCCTCTCCTCTGTTCTCCATAGCCACATGGCCCATCATCAGCTATGGACCCAGTAACATGTCTATCATATGGTACCCTGAGTTTGACATGTGGTAGCCCTACCTGGGTGGCTCTCAGGTGGCCTGGCTGCATGGACCACCTGGGCTGGTGCTGGTCTCAGAGATCCTCCTGCCCTTACCAGGAGGCCTTTGCATTTTTCAACATAGGTGCGGTTCTTAGAGCAACAGAACAAAGTCCTGGAGACCAAATGGAACCTCCTCCAGCAGCAGACAACAGTCACATCCCCCCGAAATCTGGATACCTTCTTTGAGACCTACCTCAGTGCCTTGAGGAAGCATCTGGACTCTTTGACCAATGACAAAGGGCGCCTGCAGTCAGAGCTGAAGCTCATGCAAGACAGTGTGGAGGACTTCAAGGCCAAGTATGAGGAGGGAGAGGGGGCTGGCCCATATTCAGGCTCCTCTCCAGTGGCTCAGGGCCTCAGGCTCGGAGAGATCTTAAAGGAGGGCAGAAAGTTCCTTTGTTATGTCCCCTGTTGTCTACATGGCCGTGTTTTCATAGGCTGAGGCCAAATAACCATGAGTTGCGCCTAAGAGAAAATCAATGATAGATTCAAGTTGTTGAATTTGCCTAAAATGAACAGGATTGGAAACTAAATGGAGCAATGGCAATATAGCGTGGTCAGAGGTATAGAGACTGGAAAGAGATGGAGCCAGTTGAATACTGATTCGTTATTTACTATCTGTGCAACTTTGGATGAATTGCTTAACATCTCTGAGCATTGGTTTTCTCAGTCTTTAATGAGGATAATATTCTTACCTTATGGGTTATGAGACCTGAACACAATTAAATGAGATAGAGGGAGCAGGTATAGTGCAGGACAAACAATGGCCACTCAGTGCACAGGAGCTCAGCTTTTGTCCTGTATAGGATAGGGTTGGGAGAATGAACAGCAACTCTCTCTTTCCATTCATTCACACAGCCAGCAAAAGGAACTGGAGAGTTAACAATGCCCCTGCAAATTTAATCTGTCAAAATGGACCAGAGGACAGAGTTTCCAATGATCTAATAAAATCCATTAGATCATTTCTAAGTTTTCTCCTCACATCTTGCCTATTGAAAATAGTCTTTCTGAAGCTCGTGTTTTATGTTTCTGGATAAACTAGGGCCCACACTGTTAGCCTCACGGGTGGTAATCAAAATCAGTATCTATGAACATTTGAATGCTGCTGGTGACCTGGACAGTTCCAAACAGTTAGATTCTCGAGAATGAGCAGTAGACATGGGAGAAATGCTGGTTTATGTGGCCTTCTGTCTTCCCTCCTGTCCCCATTCCTAGGTACGAAAATGAGATCAACAAGCGCACGGCTGCAGAGAACGACTTTGTGGTCCTTAAGAAGGTAAGCCAGGAAGGATGGCAGGAAGAGCTTACAGGGTCCCTTTCTGTGGCCCTCGGCTTAAGTTGTGGGTTTGGTCCTTCTTCCTGCCTGTCTCCATCTACCTTGGCTCTATCTGGGATTATGGCATCGAAGGAGTGGGTAATGGGGTGAGCTCTAAAGAAGTGTATGAGGAAAGCCCCTCTGGACAGTGAGCTTCCATGTGTTCTGATGACTTTAGCAGCAGCACATATCAAATGATTCCCTTGCCACCTTGCTGTGGCTGTATAACCAAGGACACCTGTAGATGTTCACTGACACCCCCTCCCCCATTGTAATTCCTGCCTCTTAATCCACTGCCTCTTCTTATTCTTCCTCCTCCTCTCCCCCCTCCTCCTCTTCTTCCTCCTCTCTTCTTCCTTCTTCTTTTCTTCCTCTGCAGGATGTGGATGCAGCTTATATGGCCAAGGTGGAGTTAGAGGCCAAAGTGGACAACCTTAACGACGAGATCAACTTCCTGAAGGTCCTCTACGAAGCGGTGAGGCCTCCATACTTCATTTGAAGGAAGGGTCCCCCCATATGTGAAACTGTGGGTTGGAAGTCACAGTTCTTGATTTATTACAGCATGCTGTGTCAAGGTCGTGGGTTCTTGGCAAGGTCATGGAGATAAAGGGCTGGAGTGAAGTGTAGAGCTTCTGAGAACCAGATATCCTAGAGGAGATGCTTAGAGCTAGAGGCTGCACAGGGAGATGTTCTTGCTGCCTGTCGTGTTTCTAGTGAAATGGATCCATTCCACTTCCAACACATGGAGCACCTGCCACGTTATACATGGCATGTTTACATTCTTGGCCAGCAGTAAAGGCATTGTTTTTCTGTCCCAGGATGTGACCAACCCTTCATTGCTCCCTCTTTCCTCTCCATACACATTGGGAATGCTGACTCTGTTTCAGTCAGACCTGTCTCACAACCATCCATGGATACAGGAGTCTGGTAAGAGGTCAGGGGAGACTCTACTAGGGTCTGATATAAGACACTGCCTTGCAGGAACTGTCCCAGATGCAGACACATGTCTCAGACACATCTGTGGTGCTGTCCATGGACAACAACCGGAACCTGGACCTGGATGGCATCATTGCTGAGGTCCGTGCCCAGTATGAAGAGATCGCCCAGAGAAGTAAGGCTGAGGCTGAGTCCTGGTACCAGACCAAGGTACGTTTCTCTCTCTCTCTCTCTCTCTCTCTCTCTCTCTCTCTCTCTCTCCATCAGGAGAGGGGTGGCTCTGGGGCTCTAATTTTAATGTCTGAATTGTGAACAGAAGCTCCAGCCCCAGGAGAAACTGAGTGGATCCACCAGGCATCATTGATCCTGGTTTGATCTGTGATTGCATGACATTGGTGTTACCCTGCCATCTGTGGATTCTTTCATTGGGCTCTACTATACAACCTTTGACCTCTGGCTCCTGTTCTCCTTGGGTATCAGGTCCAGCAGCTCCAGATCTCAGTTGATCAACATGGTGATAACCTGAAGAGCACCAAGAATGAGATCTCAGAGCTCAACCGGATGATCCAGAGGCTGCGGGCAGAGATCGAAAACATCAAGAAGCAGGTAGGTCTGGATGCCCTTATGGGGGACAAACAGATAAAGCCTTCAGCTGGAAGACCCTGAGCTTGCCTGCAGGGTTTTGATGCCTTATGGCTCCAGTAACACCAGTAACACAGATCTCTTCAGCAGTGTCCTTTTTAATGTGATGTGACATCCCGGTACCTAGGGTTCCTGGCTTATCTCCACTGGCTTTTGCTCATCTTTCTCTTGCTAGTCTTGTGGGCACAGAGGTGGGCTCTGTCTGAAGTGAATGGGACTCCTGAGTCAGAGGTGGGGAGAAGCATGAAACTGGCCAAAGAAACTGGCCCAGGAGGAGGGACAGGTGTGAAATTCTTGAAAGTTAGGGCTCTGATGCTGCCTGTCCAATGTCCCTGTCCACAGTGCCAAACTCTGCAGACGTCTGTAGCTGACGCAGAGCAGCGTGGGGAGGCGGCTCTTAAAGACGCCTATAGTAAGCATGCAGAGCTTGAGGGTGCCCTGCAGAAGGCCAAGGAGGAGATGGCCAGGATGCTGCGGGACTACCAGGCCCTCATGAACGTCAAGCTGGCCCTGGATGTGGAGATTGCTACCTACCGCAAGCTTCTGGAGGGCGAGGAGTGCAGGTGAGGGGAGGAGGCAAGGCGGGAAGCTGAGGCTTGGGCCCTGGGGTTGGGCCTCTGCCTGGCTTCTTGCTTCAGTGCTGTGCTAGTACATTCAGAACCAGGACAGGTAGAGTATAGGTTCACACTCAGCTGTTAGTATGTGGCCACTCAGGGTGAAGCTGGGCTCCCAAGACCTGTGTGTTGAAGGAAGCAAGACTCTGGTTTGTGTGGCTCATGGTTCTTTCTCTTGACAGGATGTCTGGGGAATGCCAGAGTGCTGTGAGCATCTGTAAGTGCCACCCCACCATGCCATCCACTGCCTTGGGTCTGGGTCTGGGGACTGCTGGCAATAACTGTGTCTTTTCCCTCTCCTGCAGCGGTAGTTGGAGGCAACATCAGCACTGGAGGTGGTGTGGGCATTGGCCTGGGTAGTGGTTTCAGCTCTGCGTCTGGAAGCGGTTTTGGGTTGGGTGGTGGTGTCTATGGAAGTTCCGGCAGCAAGACTGTCTCTACCACCACCACCACCATGACCAAGAAGTCCCAGCGATAGAGGAGACGTGGTCCCGGCAGGCCCTGAGTTCAGCAGCGCAGGCCTTGTCTCTGTGCTTCATCACTTCACCTCCACCCGCTTTCCTGGTGCTTGTCTTTCTAGAGTCTCCCCTCCCCCCACTCTGCCCTGGGCTAGAGAGGATGTTCTTTTCAGCTGGGATGTGGCCTCTTGGAGTCTGGTGGATTCTTCTCAACTTGGGCCTGGTGACCTCCCTACAATGGGAGGGTATTTGCTTTCACCTCCATGGACAGAAGGATGACTAGCAGCTCTTTCCTGAGAATTGTCAGGGTCATGTATGTTCCCTCCCAGCCATGCTGTCCTCTACCAGATCTTGGATACCCATCTTCGACAGAACCACACTCATCTCCAACACCTGGCAGCAACTGGCTCTGCAAGCTTAGGACAAGGACTGCTTGTTGTTGCGTGTCTCTACTCATCTCTAATAAAATGCTTTTGTCATTCATTCTGAGCAACTGGCTTTGTTTCCTGAGGAGAAGGCTCTAGAATCCTGTCTACACAGATAAACTTACATGAAGGTGGACACTTGCAGGGTCTGAGGATCTGTGTATATGAATCAGGGTCACCTACCAATTTCTTGGGTCTCTTTTCAAGGTGCACATAATGCTACTGACAGAAATGTGGGATAGGGACCTAAAGGCTTTCCAGAGGGCAGGAGAGCAGATTCATGCAACCACTAACAACTGTACAAAGGATGCCTGTTACAGGATGACTGGGCAGGATGTTTCAGTGCTGAACCTGGGACAGCCTAGAGGAGGAGGCTGAGTTTGGAGGTGTGGGGCATCTGACAGCCTGATGTCTTCACTGTATGGAACATGAGGCTGTGGGGCTTATATAAGGGCTTGGACACAATGTCTAGGAAGACCTCCTCTTTTTTTTTTTTGAAGGTATTGGGGATTGAATCCAGGGCCTTGTATCTGCTAAGCAAGTGTTCTCTCACCAAGCTACACCTCCAGTCCCAAGGCCTTCCTATTTTGATGCAGCTACACTTACAGGGTTAAATCAGTGGACCTGTGGGGCTTTTAGAAAGCAGCTTTAAGAAGAATCAAGGTCATGGTGTTGGATGGAGGGGAGCAAGGATGTTCTTCCAGAACTGGAGGTCATTGCTCTCATGTCTTCACCTCCATGGGGTGCCTGGGCTCCCGCCTGGGCTGCTGTACCAAGAGAAGGGAGAAGGATGGCGGGAAGGCAGGCCTTGTGGAGCACAGGAAGGGGAAAGCTTCCTGATTGGAGTGGCCCTGGAGATTCTGCTTGGTGCAATGCTGAAGGGGAGAACATTCTGAGGAGAGGGTTTGGCACTGTCTTTGAGAACACCCTGTTCCTATCCTGGATCTGAACTAGCATGTCTCCCTTTTCTAGCGACAGCTGGACTGCATAGCTCCCTCTCTGCAGCATGACCTGATCCCTCCCACAGCAGGTGCCACCTTTTCCCTTAAACCCTGGACTGATGGTGCAGACAGGAGGGAGCAAGGTTTACCCAAGCTGGAGCCTACCCATATGGCCTTCAAGCAGAACCTGAGGGCCTATCAGGGTGTTGTCCTCTCTCTGGAACAGAGTAGAAAGCATTAATCTGGGGCTGTGATCTTGGAGGCTCCCTGGTCCAGAGGGTTCTATCCTTCTGGGGACCCAGCCCTAATCTCTCTATTGTGTGTCCTGGGCTTGCTGCCCCATGTGTCATGTGTGTCAGAGCAGGAAGCTTTTGCAGCCTCTGCAGCCTGTCAGCTGGCTTCCACTCCCTCACCCAACTACACCCAGCCCCTGGGAAAATGCCTACTTGGCTGCTTTTCGAGTTCCTGGGGGTAGAGAGGAGGAGTTAAGGGTTGAGGGCAAGGACAAGGCTTCTCAGGCTCTCCCACCAGAAGGCTGGAGGTTTCTCTGGGCTGCCTTCCTCATGCCTCTGCTCAAGGGGAATGTGGTAGTAGCCTGCTCAAGGGGCTTTGGGGCTCTCCAGCCTCCGCAGTGGCATTTAATGATTTAGCAAGCTGAGGAGCCTCAGATGAGATGTCTGCATGTGTGTCCTAGAGTCAACATGGCTACATTAAGAGACCAGTGACTTTGAGAGTATGTTCATATTTGGGTTATGGAAGACTCCTGTTTTATATAAAAGAGGGAAAATAAGCTGCTGTGGTGGTATACAATGTAATGCCAGTGTTGAGGAAACTGAGGCAGGCACATTCTGGCAAATTTTAGGCCGGTCTGGGCTGTATAGTAAGAAGACATGGCCTCAAATACCAACCAATCAAAACAAAACAAAGCAAGTAAACAAACAAAAAAACTCAAGAAGCAATAAACAACAAAAGCAGAAAAAGCGAAGCAAAGAAAGAAAGAAAACACTCATTTACTTCCTGTTTCTAGGTCAGGTCAGTGTCCTAGTCAGAAAAAGGATAGGCCGAGGGTGGAAGCCCCATTACCGCTTGTTCCAGAGTTTTTGCCTTGTTAAGGTTGGGGGTGAAGTCTATCACCAAGAGAAGGATGTGTGTATGGAGTGTGGCCACGAGGGTGGGAGGCCAGGACCCAGGCTCCCTGCGGCCCTGGTTTCCTGTCTGACTTTGGGTCAAGACAAGATTGTTCTGCATCTGCAGTTACATCGCTTCAAATGCTTTGAGTTTGATCTTTGACTGTTGGTGGGGGAGGGCCGAGGAAGCTAGATTAGCTAGGGAAAGGGCTTTTGTCACTCACAAGTTACCTGTCCACAAACCCACCCACCTAGATGACTTGCATTTGTACCTCCCAAGGGCATTCATCTGTCTATTTGGCCACCAAGTCATTTAGATATAGACATGGCCATCTATACCTAAAGCTCCTCAAAATCAAGTCTAACTCTTTTTGTGTGTGTTTGGGTCCCCTTTGCCTAGCACAGGCTAGGCTAATTAGCGGCTAATTAGACAGATGTCTGCCCTTGGAAGCTACAAACTCAAGTGATCCATTCATTTATTCAACAAGTCCCCAGTTTATGAATTCTTTAAGGTCAGAAATCTGGCTAGATTTATCTTTTCCTTTTTCTAATGTATTCATCTTTAATGAAACAACTTTGGGAACACTGTACATTTCCAGGACACCAACACTACAGTTTTCAGAGTCACAGTAATATATACAGAATCATATACATAATTACTATGAATATCAACATTCTAAGCAGTAATTTCTGTTACATGGCAAACAAGATCAAGGAACCAACCATCAAACAAAAGAGATGCATAGCTTCAGGAAAGACACATTCCAGGATAGCCCAGAGAACAGCTGCTGCGTCAGCAAAGGGTTGTTGGCATAACCAGTGGTAAGACTGCCAAAGACAATTCCAGTGCCAGTCCCAGAGCCAGCAGCTCCTACTGCTGCAACAGCTGAACCAATAGGATTCACGGCCTCTGATTTCACGGTCCTCTAACTTCCCTTCAATCAGCTGACCTGCGCTAGTCTGTGCTCCAGAATAGTGTTTTTACTGTATAGGTAAAATTGTGTTTTTGCCAAATAGGTATTTGGCTCTTCAGTCCTAGCTTCTGGTAGAGATAACACTGATGCAGAAATTGATCTACCTGCAACTGTGAATCCAGCTCAGATCAGAAGAGGGGTGCGGGGGAGCTTGGTGCAGACAGACATCTGCCCTTCCTGGCAAAGCAGCTGCTGGACATGAGTGGCAGGCAGCATGGGCTTCTCTCCCATTTCCTTGCTTCCCAAGGTAGTAGTGGTAGTGGTGGCAGAGATCAAAGCAGTTTGGATTTATTTTGATGTCCAGAGCTACTGCGTCTGCCTCGTAGCGACTATTTAATAAATGCTGATGGAATGAGTGAAGCAACAGCTGTCCATTGAATGCCTAGCCTGTGTCAGACAAAAAGAACTAGACTGACTTTGAGGAGCTTTTGGCCATGTCTATATCTAAGTGACTTGGTGATCAAATAGACAGATGAATGCCCTTGAGAGCTACAAACCCAAGTGATGGCTATCCAGGGGGAAGGTAAAATCACTTTCAATCTTTTTAAAAAATTTGTTTTTATTGAATTTTTGTGTATTTCATACAGAACATCTCAAACAGTCTTAATCATCTTTATACCCCTGTCCCCACCGGCACCCTCCTATAGCCCCCACACTGGAGCTCATCATATACTCTGTCATCCCTGTTAAGGCCCACTGTGTCAAGTCAGTGTCCCTAAACGTTTTTTCAGTGCAAGCCCATCCACTGAGGTCTAGTCAGCCTATCTAGAGTCCTGTGTTTTAGGAAGATCAGCTCTTCTTCACCTAGCAGCAATCAATTGTCAATATTTCTTCAGATAAGATTGGGGTCTGCTGTTCATTTTCCCAGTTCTATGCTGGGTTACTGTCTGCCTGAGTTTGCATGGGACTTGTATATGCTGACACCCCTGCCATAGAATCATATGAGAAGGTTCCCAGGAGCTTGTAGGACTCTGTTTCCATATGATCAGGCACGTTCTCCCTGGTTCATACAATCTTTCTGCCTCCTCTTCTGCGATGGTCCCTGAGCCTTCGTGGGTGAAGTTTAATAAAGGAATTCTGCCCAAAGACCAGCATTCCGCAGACTCTTGATCTCTACACTTTGGCCATTTGTGACCTTTTATGTTCCTGGCCCTCTGTTGTATGAGGGAGCTTCATTAATGAGAACTGAGAGATTCCTTAATGACCTCTTCTTTACCCCTGTTCTATGTTCTATGAGCCTTAGGTATAGAGGTTGCATTGCAGATGTGTCCCTTAGGCCTGGGCAGTTCATAAACATTGTCTGTATGTGATCAGTTGTGGCAACCCCAGAAGACTTCATGTAGGAGGTAGTATTTAAGTGAGCTCTTGAGGGACAGGTAGGGTCTGTGTGTTAGAGATGGGGTAAGTGCTCTCCTGGCAGATAGCAGGACTTTGCTCTCCTCTGAGAGGAAGTATCTTCTTCCTGAAAGTCTGCTGGGACTGGCTCTACTGTGCTGGAAACCATCACTGGGTCTTGCTTAGGCCTCTTTGGGCAGATTCTGAGTACACACCCCTTTCTCTGAGCAGTGTCCCACTGAACATTTCTTCCATCTCTAGGGCCCCAGGGGACAGGACCTT